TTTCTTCCCTCGCACATATGACTATTATCTCATGACATGAAGGATGGTCGTCGTCGTCATCGGTCGCAATTAGGCCAGGCTAGGCTAGGCTAGGCTAGGCTAGGCGAGGCTCCTCTCATGCATATGTATCCGTACAAATTTCTTACCACCAAAGAGAGGCTAGGCGAGAGACTACTCTCTCTCATGCATAATTATATATCACGATTACACACACTTTTCTCACTCACTACTTTCGCCATTTCTGCGGGTCACATGGTATTCGGCCTTTATGGCATACGTGACGTCATGGGGGTGGGTCACGTGGTCTGTCACGTGGTCTTTGGGCCTTTCTGACCTGTTTGGGAGGGGTGGGTGGGGTGGCTGAGGCAGGTTGGCTGAGTGAGTTAGAACCGATGTTGTTTCACTAGATTTATTCATTTAGGGGCCTTTCATTTTGAAATGTCTTTCTTCAAGGCAGGTGGCATTTTTATTGAAGATTGTGGACTGAGTAATATCATGAGTGCGAATTGATCGGTAATGGTTCAGTTTCAGGTTTTATAGGCGGAAAAGATTACAACAGATGTAAACGATTACATTCTATCCTGACATTGGCATTGCAACAATTGCACTACGAAGCATTTTTAGAAGACAAACAATTGACAGTTGGGGAATCAGTGTTAAAATATCTCACCACATTTTTGGCTCATAAAGATGTCTCTCCACAAGTTCAGCATACAGAAACACAACGTCTTATTGAATCTTATGAGGAATATACAGAAGACACATTGGATGGCAAGCACGGAAAAACAGCGCAATTTTACGCTATGTACATAGATTTTGTAAATCTTTACCACTTATTCATTAAAAGTATTAGAGTTGGATATTTAGATTTGTACTTATATACCATTGCGAAAATCGTCAGCTTATTCTTCTATTACAATCAACTAAACTATAGTCGATGGCTAGTGTACTACATTAATTTACTTTAACACGTGGATAACACACATGCAGACCTCCGAACTGAAATGGCTAAGGGTTCGTTTGGAATCAGAAGAACCATCAAGGCTTTCTCACGAATTCCTGTGGATTTAACATTTAACAATAAATGGTGATGTTGCTCGTCGTCTTACTGGAATCGTTAACCTTACAAATTGAATTGCTGCTAGACAACGTTGGGCTAAAAATCATGGGACGCGAACAAGAACCATATCTCATGTACTGGCTCATGCAGAACTTGATAGAAACTACAATGATATTGCTGCTGATCTGCACCCAGATAGAATGAAAAAACAACACATCCAACTTGAAGCCTTTTCGAACAGTCTCCTGCAGATCATTAATCCATTTTCTTCTTCAACTGATAAGGATCAATTGTTTAACATTTCAACAGGGCAAGCTGCTCCTCCAGAAATTGCAAACTATTTGCTAAAGACAGTGTCTGGGGGAACATTTCTGCGTTATCAATTCATAATGGAATGCAATTTATATTCAGAAAGGTTTCACCAGCCATTAAAAAAAATACATTGTAGGCTTTTGCAAACCTCAAGCAGAAAAAAAAAAGAATGAAAATTGGTGGAAAAGTCCACGAAGTTAAATTGCAGCGAGATTTATTTGGTCGGTTATTGGCTCTATATCTCTTGACACGAATATAGAGCTGGAGAAAGTACTTTGTTTTCCTATAACTCCTGTGCCGTTATCACTGTACCATATAGATGGTTCTTTAAACAAGACTTCCTTTATTAAGCAGAACTGTTTCTACTCACTTTTCTCCCAAACAAGTACATCTAGAAAAAGCATCCTTCAAACTCACATACATTACAAAAAATGACTTTACCAGCGCAATTTTAGAATATCACACCAAAAATCATAATGGTATTTCAGAAACATATGAACATTTCAGAAAGCTCCTCTTCTATCCCCGTATGAAAGACATAACTAATATAACTAATAAATGTGAAACCTGCTTGAAAACAAAATACGAACGAAGACCTTTCAATGAACCTCAGAAGGGCCTTTCTTTTCCACCAAACCATTCCACTTACTTTTTGTAGACGTTCTTTCTACAGAAAAAACTAAATATCTAACTTATCTTGGCCAGTTCAGTCGATACGCCCCAGCATATGAACTCGTCTCTCGTAACGGACCCTTAATTCTAAATAAACTAGAAGACTATTTCTCACATCACGTATATCCATTACAAATAAAAATCAGATCCTGGCGAATTAAACTTTCGCTTAATCCAAGACTTTTGCAAAAATCATAAAGTACAACTATTGGAGGTACAAAGATGAGCCATCCAACTTGCCTCTTGCATCTTCTGGCCTCCAAAAATACCGAATTGCAACGTTGTATTAGCACCGAAGACGGTCTAAAAAGCATGATTGATACTGGAAGGTAATGTCCGAGCAATAAATTATAGATAAAAGGAACCGCATTCTATAGAGGCGCGTGGCTTGGTTATCTCCAGTGGCGGTGGGCTGTTGCTGTTGATCAGGTGCAGGCTTAATTAAATCGACTATATTAAGCGGTGATCGATTGTTCGAATTGGTATAATTGGTATAATTTCTTAGGGGTTCGGAAATTGTCGTATGACGACGACGCGGTTTTTCCGGTTTTTTTCCCGGTTCACGAAACGTTCGGAAGGAAAGCGATACCGTTTCGGAAACTAGAAACTCGGCGCTTTACGGGGGAGCGACAGCCGGAGCGGTGAGAGGAACGGATCGGATCGAACACGGCCGGTAAAGTCGAAAAATCGACCGTATTTCGGGCGGTACGCGGCGTTATTTCACACTCGTTTCACCGTTTATCGAAATATCGACTCGAGATCGGTCTCGTTCGATAGCTAAACGAGAAATACATCCCAATCAGCTGAATCTGTTCGGTTCCGCGTCTCTGTTTTTTTTTTCTAGAAATGTTCGAAAAAAAGCGACAAAAACGACGAATCGCCCGGAAAACTACGATATCTCCCTTATGCCGAAGAGAAAAGAAATTTCGCGCGCCGCGTTTCGTACATCTCGGCGAGCGCTACAAATTACGCGGAGAGAGTTTTTTTTCGTTTACGGTACCCTTTCGAATAAACGAACCTCGAACGTCGTCAAGAAGACTTTTTTGCGTATAAAGCGCGCTGCTTCGCCGTTTATCAGACATCTACTCCGACGATAACGAAGATACGGCGACTTTCGCATGAGAAAGCCCATACTTCGGACTCTCAAGTAATACTATTTTCATCGTCATTATTCGTTTAGGTTGAAAAGTTTCGATTTTTTAAAATCGCTCGACAATATGCTACATTTCGATGCGTGAAAAAGTCATTTTGTCATCCGGCTCTGTCTTCGCCTATTACTACCGTACGTGAGCCAGTAAAAATTATACAGCTATCGAAAAATAACGATGATGAGCTGAGGAAACGATTCTGACCGTTAGAATTACCGTCAAATTTCGAAAAAGTAAACTTTGAGCGCCTCAAAAGTACCGATGACAACCGTTTTTCGGCGTACTTTGTCTTCGTCGATACGGACCTGCGTTACGGAGCGACATGGCTACGATTTTTTTTCGCAAAACGACAGACCAAAGTCTCCTGATTAAACCGACATACTACACGTTACCCGATCGCATTTTTTAAACTCGGCAGATTACAAAATTCAAAGATATGCAGATATTTTTAGTTTGAAGTTTCAATTTTGAATTTCCGCTCCAGATCCGCGATTCCTGTTAGGCGGGGTATTGTAGATACGATCGTATTACGAAAGCGAGCGCGTGCGAGCGAAACGTCCGAAACGTGCTATTTTCGGCTTTATGTCGGTCGCTTCATCGAATATAGGATCACGCCGAATACCGTTGTCCTTTTTTACGCGTGAAAATAAACATTTTCGAAAAGATTCAAAATTTCTATATTCCATAGTCTAAACGGACCGGACTATAGCCATTAAAATCGTATGAATCTAGTAGTTTTTTATGTTTACAGATTGCGATGTTTACCGCCAGAGGGTGAAATTATTCTTTGACGTTCATCAGTTTATTGAAATCATCATCGGTTTATAAATACGATAAAAATATGATTGTAAGCCCCAATCCTTGTTATAATTTTACACCATATCGCATACGGCTTCCTTCAACCGATTGATATAAAGCGTATGTCTGATTGCATCACCTCCTTTTTCTAACCTACAACGTATGAATGTAAACATTATCGAAATCTTAATAATGAGGATCCCGTTGATAAGGATTAATTAGAAGCTTAGAACAAGCAATCGCAACTACAAATAGTGAAAGTGTTGTGAAGTGTTTACAGTGTCCGTGCAGAAGTAGATATTTCTATGGCAAATGTAAGTAGTCAATCACGTTTCATTTGAATTTATCACTTGTTGATTTAACTTGAGTTAGGGTCTCTGTTCTCTAAACTAAACTAAACAATCATTCAAAATATGTAATAGTAGTGTCGAAGTACCCAAAATTAGAAGGTCTTATTAAATTCTTAAACAAGTTTTTAACTATATTTGAGAGTCATCATACAGATTTTTTTAGAAACGATGGATACATTACATGAAATGAAGAAACTCACAGTGTTATTCAATTGCTTTGTGACTACCAAAGCTTATTTTTAGTCAAAACAACAGACACTATCACTTGTCAAAAAAGAATGACCACAGGAGTGCTTGAACTGTTCAAAAAAGACACGAATGCCTGTTTGACTAATGCTGATGAAGTTTAGAAGCATACACAAAGATCTAAATTGTTATTTTCAGTACCTAATTTGCTAGCATAGCTTCATCAGCTTTTTTCGTTTCTCTGTTCGCATAGGGACTAGGTTTGGGTTGTAAATCATCTAAATACGAAACGCACATACAAGATAGCTTTCTCATAGAAGTACATGTTTGTTGAATAGCTTTGAAAAAAATCAAGGGACTACCCTGTTATAGCTGGAGTACTGAACTCTACATTAAAATAATTTATGATGCCATGTGTTGTATCTAGAAAAAGCTAATGACAAAAATTATAATCAACAGTATGCTCCTTACTGGTAAACTATTTTTATTTCTACAGATCACATAACTATTGCATACATCCCTTAAAAGGGTCCAATTTGAAGTAACATATTATAGAGTTCAATTTTCAAATTGTTGAGATAGTAAAAGGTTTATCAATGGTCTTTTTACGGGTTCTTCTTTCTGGCGATGGAAAGTTCAATTGCTTCTCCCTATTATACTTAAACAATGTAGGTTCATTTTCTTTTTTCCCATCCACAAAATGACTACATAAGTATGCGCCAGGACCTGGTTCAACTGTTCTCCTGCAATCAAATGACACAATACATGTATTAATTTTATTGTATTAAATTAAACATTTCCCATGTTCCTATCAAATAATAAGTCTGGTCTTTGCGGTGTTACCTTGTAAGTTTTATCCAACGATTCCTTTTCCTTCTTTTTCGATCTTTGGGAAACCTGGACATCTTACATGTTTCTCTAACATTATAGTGCTTACAGTCGGGTGCCCAGCACTGCACCATTTTCTGTAATAGATAGTAACAGTCAGACGAAAGTTCAATTTGAAAATATCCTATCAAAGAACGGTAGCATATTTTCAACAAAAATTGTTTTAAAACTCCACTTTGACCACTTGATACGGAAGAAGTTTTCTCAAGGTGTTTATGTTTACTTTTTTGATAGTTTCACGGATTTCCTTACTATGATATTTAGGAATTAACTTTCAGAATCTTACTTTTTCTTTCCATTATGTTGTAGATGCACATCATCTCACAATAGGGAGTTATTGAATTTTAATTTTAAACAAAATAGTATTACATTTTATTTTCCAGGTTAGAAAAAATTACCTATGACAATGACATTGACATTACAAAACAGAAAACATATACACTGAAGAAAGTATAGTCCACTGCTATCCATAGACGAACATGGTTGACATATGTCAGTGTCAAGCGCCATTTTTTTGCAAGTCGTGTGGTAGCTAGATTTATGCGACTTTGCCGGATCCTCATATAAATCTAGGTCTGCTATACAATTTTATAGAGAGCATTAATGCTATATGGAAGATTTTATAACGCCATGTACGGTATTAACAACAACACATGCGACGTTGCCGGCATCTTACATAAATCTGAGTCTGTTATACAATTTTATACAGGATACTTTCAATGCTATATGGAAGATAACAGACAACAGATAACAGGTAACAGGTGGTGACAGGTACCAGATGGTAACAGGTAACAGGTGGTAACATATAACAGATAACTTATAACAGATAAAACATAAAAGATGACAGATAACAGATAAAAAGTAACAGATAAAAGGAAACAGGTAACAGATAACAAATAACTGATAACTGAAAACTAAAAAATGAAAACTGAAATCTGAAGAATGAAAAATGAAAAATGGAAAATGAAAAATGAAAAATGAAAACTGAAAAATGAAAAATAAAAATGAAAAATGAAAAAAGAAAAATGAAAAATGAAAAATGAAAAATGAAAAATGAAAAATGAAAAATGAAAAATGAAAAGTGAAAAGTGAAAAGTGAAAAGTGAAAAATGAAAAATGAAAAATGAAACCGATACCAGATACCGGATACCAGATCCACATACCAGATACCAGATCCACATACCAGATACTAGATACCAGATACCAGATACCAGACACCAGATACGAGATACCAGGCACCAGTTACCAGATATCAGACACCAGATACTAGACACCAAACACCAGATACCAGATACCAGACACCAGATACCAGACACCAGACATCAGATACCAGATACCAGATACCAGATACCAGACACCAGACACCAGACACCAGACACCAGATACCAGACACCAGATACCAGACACCAGATACCAGATAAAGAGATAACAGATACCAGATACCAGATACCATATACCAGATTCCAGACACCAGATCCAGACATCAGATACCAGATACCAGATTCCAGATACCAGACACCAGACACCAGATACCAGACACCAGACACCAGACACCAGATACCAGATACCAGACGCCAGACACCAGACACCAGACACCAGACACCAGATACCAGATACCAGACACTAGACACCAGATACCAGATACCAGACACCAGATACCAGATACCAGATAACAGATCAAAGATGCCAAAGGATAGAAAATGATTAGAGATAGGGATAAAGTATATGTCGCTAGCATTGCATTAGCATACCAGCAACTGCGCTACGGCTGGTTTTAAATAAAGACATCAACGGACAATATTTAGCATAACGTTGGCATGCTAGAAACTGCGCTAGTCGACGATATTAAGCGGTGATCTTTTGTTCGAATTGGTATAATTGGTATAATTTTTAGGGGTTCGGAAATTGTCGTATGACGTCGACACGGTTTTTCCGGTTTTTTTCCCGGTTCGCGAAACGTTCGGAAGGAAAACGATACCGTTCCGGAAACTAGAAACTCGGCGCTTTACGGGGGAGCGAGAGTTGTCGCGATAGAAAGAACTAACGCGATCGAAAATGGCCGATAAAGTTGAAAAATCGGTGAATTTTCGTGCCGTTCGACGCGCTTTTTCGATCTCCTCCGAAGATAAAGGAGCTACGAACCTGACGATTTTTGCGTGAGAAAGCCCGGACCGTTAGAATTACCGTCAAATTTCGAAAAAGTAAACTTTGAGCGCCTCAAAAGTACCGATGACAGCCGTTTTTCGGCGTACTTTGTCTTCGTCGATACGGACCTGCGTTACGGAGCGACGTAGCTACGATTTTTTTTCGCAAAACGAAAGACCAAAGTCTCCTGATTAAACCGACATGCAACGTGCTATTTTCGGCTTTGTGTTGGTCGCTTCATCGATTATTGGATCATGCCGAATACCATTGTCCTTTTTTAAGCGTGAAAATAAGCATTTTCGAAAAGATTCAGAATTTCTATATATCATAGTCTAAACGGACCGGACTATAGCCATTATTATAATGATAATCAAGTATGCCTGGGCAACGTTGTAATTTTACCAGCAACTAAGCATTTAGGCTTTGACGTTTAGCGATTTGTTTACAAAAGTCATCATCACTTTCAATACGATAAATAGGTAAACCCTAATGAGTGGCATAATTTTAGATGAACGTTTATATGGATCCATCCTAAAAAGGCAACAAGTCCACAATATAGCAAAACTTTGTGCTTATAGCAGTGTGTCTTGCAAGTGTCTAGTGATGCCGAGTGTTTACAGTTTTACGGTTCAGACGACGTACCACAGTGTATCTATAGATAATTTAGTTCATCTTTCAAGACGTTTGAGAGCGGTTTAAAGGTAGCCTTATTAATCGTCAGCAAATTTAAATGAGGTAAACAATTTTCATTCCTGTCTTTTACCCCCAACTATGTAGTGGAATCGGGTGTGACGTTTAGCAGTTTATGGAAATCATAATCAGCTTAAATACGATGAATATGATTGTAAGACCTAATTAGTGCCAAAGATCAATTCCTGAAGAGACCAGAAATCCACTTTGTGCTTATAGCATAATATACTAACAGATAACAGTCTAGTGATACCGGGTGCCGAGTGTTTACAGTTTTTCGGTTCGGACGAAGTGCCTCAGTGTATATCTATCGTGATAATGTATTTCATCTTTGAAGAAGTTTTAGAGGTACCCTTATTAATCGTCAGCAGATTTGAATAAGGTAAACATAATTTTAATTCCTGTCAAATTATAAAACATTTACACTGAAGAAAGAACATGCTATCCTTAGGCTAACACGGTTGACATATGCCAGCGCCATTTTTTTGCAAGTCGTGCGGTAGCTAGACTTATGCGACGTTGCGGGATCCTCACATAAATCTGAGTTTGTCATACAATTTTATAGAGGGCATTAATGCTATATCGAAGATTTTATAATGCCATTGTGTGCTATTAATGGTGACACATGCGACATTGAAAAATGAAAAATGAAAAATGTAAAAAGAAAAATGATCAATGGAAAATGAAAATGAAAAATAAAAAATGAAAAATGTAGAATGAAGAATGGAAAATGAAAAATGAAAAATGAAAAATGGAAAATGAAAAATGAAAAATGAAAAATGAAAACTGATAACCTGTAAGCGCTTTTGAGCCGAGCATTCCAAGTGAACATTCGTTGGATACAAATCATGAAATTTGTAATGTAACACTTGATATAAGCATTACATTACAGCGCTCGGCTTCAGTCAGTCGGCGTCTTTTGACGTTATGTACAGTTGTGTGCAGTTCATATGTATACAAATTCAATTATCAAGAATATACATCAACACGAAAACATGAAATCTGGCAACATCGCATATAATAAAATATTTCAGAACTTTAATGTTTGCGCACATTTTCAGTCTCATTTCTTTCATCTACATCCAAACACTAGGATTATAAATCATTTTTTATCAAAAACGGAGCTAGAGAATTGTGGGAACAACTAGCGATGCGGCCCTGAGTCATCGATAGCTCTCTGTACCCAGAACTAGATATGAGCAGTCAACTGTCAAGGGCTTGCCTAATTTATCCATTTAGGTTGGCTAACCTCATGAAGAAACATATGGCAACACTGGTTTCGCGAATGCTATTGTATCTTGTATAGATCAACCGTCTCTGAATGTGAAATACAATTTACATGCAAAATTTCTCCGAAAATTGCTTTTATTTATCTATTAACACTTTATTTATCTACTAACACTTTAATTTTCAGCTTTTGCTCTTTAGTAGGTATATTTAAATTCTTATATAGCAAAATGCCCAAGAAGAAAGTAGGAAATAAGTGGTATGGTAAGAAGCGTACCACTGTCGTGGACCCTGTATCTAGAGATATAAATGATACCTTTCAAGATGCATCCCAAACGGAACATTTAGTAGAGTCTTCAAATGTAGAACAGTCACAGCCTGGTCCTTCAACAGTTAGGTATGTATTTATATTCCCATTTTCATAGTAGGGGTGTGGCACATCCCAGTTGGACCTTAAAATTTGAACAAGTAGCAAGATTTTTGTGTACAGTATTACTGTTCATTTTCACAAAAGATTTAAATTCTGATATAGCAAAATGCCAAAAAAGAAGATAGGAAATAAGTGGTACAGTAAGAAGCGTAATACTGTCGTGGACCCTGTATCTCAAGATATAAATGACACCTATCAAGATGCACCTCAAACGGAACATTTAGTAGAATCTTCAAATGTAGAACAGCCACAGCCTGGGCCTTCAACAATTGCGTAAGTGTTATATTCACATTTTCATAGTAGGGGTGTGGCTCATCCCTGCACCTGATAATTGTCCTTAATTTTTCTAAAAATGCATTCCATGAGCAACTAAAGGCTTGTATACAACACATTTAATACACAATACTTGAAAGATCAACAGTTCTTACATTTCCTGGTATGCTTAAGGTACAATCAAAATAAATAAAAGGAAAATTATATTTTTAGAAAAAAATTGTATACACTTGAAAATGCTTCACGCCTTCAATATGTTGCAATTGATACCTCAAAAGTATCCATTGATCCTTGCAATGCAAAATTTTCTATTTAGAGATACGTTTTAAAATTACATTATTTATTAATTGCAATAACATATTGAAAACCCAAAACATCTTTCAAGTGGGTATGAATTTTTCAAAAATACGACTTTATCATTTGTTTTGAGCACGTCTTGCACAGATTAAGAAATATTTGAATGGTATAGACTAATACTAAGTAGCTTCTTTTGTGAATTCTTGACCATTTCATATACAAATTATTTTATATACAACCTTTGCGAGTAGAGGGTATTGTATTGTTTTGGTTTGCTTCAAGTTAAGGTATACTCATGAAAAATTTGTGAAAATAAGTATCGATTCAATATATTTGCCTTTGCATAATTTTTTATGCAACTTTGATTCCCTCCCTCATTCCCCTTACCACTAAGAAAGTTGTCTAGCCCCTGCTGTTCAAAAAGTAGTAGAGAGACACGCTTTCATAAAACATTATTTTTGGTTAATGATTGGTCTATTTTTGTAAAATATCAGGTATATATAGTAATTAACTATATTTTTATTAAAAGCTCTTCAACACATTTTTATTAGTTTTATCTCGGTGGTGTAATTTGTTTCTGAGGGATTCTATATAAAAATGTTTAGAGGAAGCCCTACTCATCTGTGTTGAATCTCAAAAGAAGAGTAAAATTTATGATGAAAATAAGTGCTACAATGTCTCCTTTATATCCTGGTTTAATTACATTCCATGATTAGGGTTTAGTAGGGTTGCCAGCAGGTTTGGAAATTACCTGTATAAAGCGCAAATGCAAAATTCAAAATTTATTTTCACATTTTATTTTTTCAACTCAACACTAATTTTTTTTTCATGAAGCTCACTGCTACAGTATCTCCTTTATATCCTGGATGATGATAGTGGTATATATCAGAGAATACAACATTTACTTGTATCTTGAAACTACTTTAAATTTCATTTCGTACAGGTAACTATCGTGCCTCCTGGTAGGCTCACTGTCTTGACCACAGAATTAATCCGAATATAAAAGAAATATTGTAGCACTGACTTTCATGAAAAAAAAGGGGTATTGATTTGAAAAAAAATTTCTTGATCCGCTTGGTAGGCACATCTGCCCTAGAATATAAATGAACTGGGACATAAAGCATATATTATAGCATCGACTAGCGTGGAAAAAAGCTGTCGTTTTTAAAAAAAAATAATTACACAACTTTCGCACCCCGTGGTACTATGCTCCGATTACGGAATTTAATTGTTCTAGAATATAAAAGCAATATTGTAGCATCGACTTACATTGAAAGAAGTGATTCTAAGTTGGAAAAATAAATTGAGAGAATTAATTCTGAATTTTGCATTTAAGTTTCATGTAGGTAGCTTACTATGCTCCGATTACAGAATGTAATTGATCCAAGATATAAAGAAGACATTATAGCACTGACTTTCGTGAAATAAGAAATGTGTTGATTTGAACAAAAAAATAATAAAAACAATTTTAAATTTTGCATTTGCATTTCAAACAGGTGATTTTCGTGTTCCCTAGCAGACTTCCTATGCCCCGGCTATGAATTGTAATCGATTCGTGTTATAAACGAGACATTGTAGCATGAATTTTCGTGATAAAAAAGTAGTGTCGATTTGACACAAATTGAAAATAATTTTGAATTTTGCTTTTGGATCTCCTACAGATAGCTTTCGGATCCCATGTTAGGCATACTGGGTCCCGGTCACTGAATGTATTTGGTCCATAATATAAAGAAGACATTGTAGCTCTGAGTTTCGTGATAAAAAGTAATGGTGATGTGAAAATAAAAATTGAATAATTCTGGAGTAGGGCTAATAAAAATACAATAATCTTGGGAAAAATTGGAATTTAATATTTGCAATAAAAATGGATTTGAAAAGCTGAACTTTACAACAGAACAGAACTTATTTTAAATTTGAAAATTTAACCAATCCAATATGAGGTGACAAATATTCAGTGCGATAATTATTAATATAACTAAGTAATTTTAAATGTCATGTAGCTGATATCAACTTCAAGGAATCAACTTCACTCTGTGACGGAAGAACCTTATTATTCTTTCAAACTTGTAATAGGATTTTGTTATTGTTTTCAGACAAATTACTTTATTTGCAATCTTTTGAAATGTTGTATGATTCAAAAGAATGTCAGAAAATAATGTTAAAACATCTTTACATATTTCACATTTATCTATATTTACCATTACCTTATTTCTGATGATAATATATTATATTGGATGATCTTATTTTATACCTTAATTTTGTCTTAATGATTTGTAGAAGTACTTCAGATCAATAGCAAGAATCAAACATCTCGGTACGAGGGAAGAAATGCAAATGTAAAATAAATATGGATGAATGCAAGCCAAAGCAGCATACAGCAGTTCCCACTACTTCATTACACGGTCATGACTCCTCGCAGTTACTTACATCTTTTATTACATCAGATCAACAAACTGTTGCCCATAACAGTACAGCAATTCCTGTACAATTAACAACAAAGTAAGTATACACAAATGATTCATGCATTGTTCAATCAAATTCTATGCCAATCATTACTATACTGCTCGAAGCTACAGCTATACTAGCTGAAAATTGTAACTTCGTTATTACGTGTAAATTAAAATTAATCTTAAAAATGTAACGAACAGAATATTCCTTACTTCGATAATATTTTTATTTCCACTGTGTGATTCATTATTACATGGTGACAAACATATTTTTTTAATGGAACAACCTATATTTTATTGCAAATTCAAACAGATCCTACTAAAAGAACCAATTTAATATAACATACTAGAGGGATCTATTTTCAAATTATTGAAACATTAGGCAATCATAAAAAAAAATTAACAACATGACTCTTCACAAGTATTATAACTAAAGAATTAAACTTTTTGTTGAAAATATCTTATATTGCTGATATTTTTCATTGGTAAATAGACCCCATTTACTGTTCTGCCAAAATCATCAGCCATCTGGCAGTTACATGGTGACTTGTCTGATAAACGTGAATTGATTATCTTTCCAGTACAACTACTGTGCATTTTCCATAAATGTTCGATTCAAGTAATAGATGATGCTTTGTTCTGTTTTATTTCCTCTATTTTTACATTATCTACCCATTTTTCCAATATTTCAGTTAGCTAATGCTTATGCCCTTATATTTTCACACTTTCTAATTTCCCTTTTCACACGTTTTTTTTATATAAGATTTACGGTGATTCATACAATTGCTTTCCAAATTACTTAAAGGACATATTTACCTCCTTGATTTTCCATCTATTGCATAAGATTAGACTTCATTTACAATGAAAATACATAAATGTTACATATCTGCCGTAACTAATTTCTATTTTAATTTTGAAATGCATTGTAATATTTTTTGTTAACTTCAATTTCGATTTATACAAAGGTCAAGTATAATTCATAATTCACTCGAACAAACTCCCATAAATAAACCTTATATTGTGAAAAACCCCGGATATAAAAGGTGAATCCAAAAGTGTAAAAATATATAGGTTCTACCGTCTGATAACTATCAAAAATTCTTCCTTTTCGCATTCCTTATCATAAATGAAAACAATATCTTCATAGGAAAAACATTTAAAATTATTGATTGTGATGAGATCTAAAATATCTCGAACTGTGGCAGGCATGGATTTACTCTTCAGTATTTCAAAATTCACATAATCTTAATCAATGCACGATTCAACGTCACCATAATTGATACATGTTTCAAATATTTGATAATTTTGGTAAAAGTTACCTGGAAACGTGAAAAAATTCAATTAAAATATCGAATTTTTTTTAGTGATCTTCACAGAAAGGAAAGGCCTTAAATATATTGACTTGATACTTCCCAGGCATTATTATTCATTTATTTTCGAATAATTTTAAAATTTCCAGGTACACAAGATATTTTAAACGCCAATAATATTTACAACCTGCTGAATGAGACTTTTTTTAACCTTCTGAAATTCACTTTTCTTCCATTTTATGATGAATTAAAATTTAACTTTTAGGAAATTGCAAGTTGAATAGCATTATATTCTTAAAAATGATTGGAACAATTAGAAATACCTCAAAGGATTTAATTCCATATATCCATCTTTAGAGCAAATTAACTTTTTAATAATTTTTTTCTATAAAATCAAAAGAAGAAAATTATACTCTATGTTTTCTCTCCTGTCATCATGGTTTTCATTATGTTATAAGATATCTACCTAACAACTTACTTATTTATTTTATACTTTTAGGGAGAAAATGGAGAAAGGCAAAACACCATTGAAAAGATCTAAAAAAACAAACCAACCTCTGCAGTCAACATCTATAATCATACCTCAACATCTATCAAAAAACTCAACAAGTCAATTAAACGACGGAGTTATTCTTAACAAAACAGCCAGCACTACAACTGCACTCCCCAATAATCCCATTGGCATACCAGGCCCAACAGGACTCTCAAATACAAGGTAAAATATTTAGCTATGTTTCAATATTAATTCAGATCCAAAATCAAATAAAATATAATTCAAAATGAAATAATAAATAATAATACCTAGAATAACGAATATTATTCAGTTACTTATTTAAATCATTTATTTACAATAATTACATTTGTCAATACGCACTATAAAATGAACATAAAAGAAATTTTGTCATATACAACCTTTTTTACATTCATCTACATTAAATAACTGATCCGCATAATGTTATAATACAATATGAACAATAATTGTATGTGACACAGACTGATGTAACTTGAAAATCAATAGTCATATAGGGAAACTACTGAAAGATCTAATGGTGACTTTGGATCTGACCTTCTACAATGATGACCTTCAAGATCATACTAAAGTCAATTCAATTTTTTTAGCCATGAAAGAATCCTGAAGAAATAGTAAATTCAATTTATCTAAACATTACAGTAATTTGAATTATTAAGAAATTAAAATATAATTTTGCTCTAGAACGTATTGTAACAAAATTGTTCATTTTTTTCATTTCCTCGGTTAAAAGTCTAGGATCCTATTGAAAAAGAGTTGCCCTTGAACGACCTTATAGGTCATGACCAAGTTGATATAACTTAAAAATTAGTAATGACATATGGAAACTATCGAGACATTATTTTCATGATCTTCCCCGGATATCCAATGGTGACTTTGGTCGCTCTCTGTGATGGTCGATTCTACCATCATGTATAGCACTTTGTGCTGTCATTTTCAGAGACTCTACCTTCGAGATAGAGGATCGTTGGGATACTTTCGTTCGTTATTTAAAGATGAAAAGCAAAACCTAGGTCATGCTGATGAGTAGTCCATAGTTGGTTATATTTTCACTGAAGGGACGAAAACATTATGTTTAATATATTTCTAATGTTTCATTTTTATTTTAGTATTGTTACTCAACCCGTTGCATCACAAATGACATGTATTAGCAATCCAGAGATTGTTATCCATTCATCAAATATGTGGCCATCCAGGCAACAGGACGTCGACGGAAATGCCTCTTTGCTAACAAATAGTGCTCTTACACAGATGGAAACTGATATATTTTCACAACACATTGAGCCAACGGAAACGTCATCTTTACCTACTTTACATCAACAAGAACAGAATGATGACAATATTACTATGGCAATACAAGACGATGAACTCAATGAAATACTAGCTAACCTCGACATAGACAATATGTTACAAGATACCAACAATATAATAGCCGAAAATGTAACCGAACATATCAATCGAAGAGGAAGTCATTACATGTCAGCAGCTGAGCATTACACAAGTTTATATACATTGGGAACTTTTACTTCTACTTGTTCTCATTGTGGGGCTTTACACTTTTTCTGCGAAAGAAATTCCAGAAATATTTACTCGCAATGTTGTAAAACTGGTGCAGTACATCTGCCTCCATTCAATCCATACCCTGAACAATTAAGGGTACTATTTCAGAATCGAGAATTCATGGAAAATGTGCGTTATTACAACATTAGCTTTGCCTTTGCCAGCCTGGGTGTTAATACTGTAATCCCAGCTGGTCGAGGACCTTATGTATTCAAGGTAACCAGTAAAAATAATATATGTAGTATGATATAAATGAAAATTAAAATTCCACAATGTTACTTGAATGATCATTTTTCAGATCGAACTATTTTTTTTTCCTAAACATAACTTATGAAGGCATGAAGCTCTATAAAATTTCAGTCTTGAAATGAACAGTTCACTCTGGAGACGCACTCAAAATATGGAAATTCGACCAAAATGTAAATTTTAACGTGTTAGCAATCTTTATCGCTACTCCTATCAATGAAAAGTAATAAGCATCGTAAGATATATATATATCTTAAGGCAAAATTATCCAACGAATTAAGAAATTATCTTAAAATTGCTATATAATGATTTCTTGGACAAAAATTTCAATCAAATATTTTTTTTCGAAATTATTTACTGGTTCAATATTAGGTAGACAATTAGAATACGTTACAAAACTAAAAATTCACAAAACTATTTTTTTCCATATAGCAGTTAAACCTCCTTGTCCTTATATATAAATTCGTAATGGACCATTTACATTGATCAGAAAAACTTTGTATTCAATTTTCGATGTCTCAAATCAAAATTGACAATTCCCATAAGTCTATAAAATGACTCACGACTCATATCGCGTTCAATTGTTGCTGAAGCGAACCTATAAAGACATAACATGCCTTTTTCGTTTTCCCCGAGAAATTGAAAACTTGCTAAAACGCTAAAATTTACATTTTGACTTGCAAACTCCAAGCGCGTATTTAAACCGGATTATTCGACCTAGAATCCTAAAATTTCACAAAGTCTCATACCTCTATAGGTACTTTCCAGAAAAAAAAGCCCAATCTGATATATGACCTGCCAAGCCAAGTCGTGGAATTTTAATTTTGACCTATATACACTTTAACCAAAGAAATACTGTGTACTTTTCCTCTCTGTCGCTCGTCTTACAACCTTTTCCATTCAAAATGCTTGGTCAACAATTTTTAGATTAAATATCAATTCTCACAACCTTGTGAAATACCCTGTATATTTTAAAATACTTTCAAGATATACTTTTCATCAACTCACATATTTCTGTATAGATAAAGTTTCTTAAAAACCTTACCATTTAATCATAACAGACTGTGACACCCAAGATGAAAAACATTATATAAATATGAGATATTAACACAAAATCTTTTTTTAACTATTTAAATTAATTTCTTATCACTATCGCAAAGAAGTAATATATATATATATATAATTCATATCCTTCAATCTGTTTTACCTTTTTCTACAATGCTATTTATTTTATCCACATACATTAAAAACCGATTATTTCATTTTTTTTAAAATCAATTATATTATTAATAAATTCTTTATCCCTTTTATAATGAATTTACTTTTCTTTCCAGCTACAAGGAGAAATAAGACATCATATCTCAAATGTTTCGACTAATATTCCAAATGAACGCAGACAATATGGCAATTTATATTTTTTGGATACTGAACTGGCAAATCAACTTCGGTCTGCTGGCCCACAAAATCGAGCAGAATTAAATCGAGAAATCGTCGACCTCATCTCTAATTACTTGTACAATCACAATCCATTTGCTCAAGCATATAGATTTCTTAAGGATGTCTATCAACAACAACAACAAAGCAATCGTTATCCAACATTGGAATTGTACATCAATAACAACCGTGCTCGGGATATTAATTTCAGACAATATGGCGCGGTACAGGCCAATGAAATAGCAGCCGTATTTATTTCTGAAGATGGGAGACCGCCCCTGGATCGTTGCGTACATGTTTATTGTCGAGACAACGACCAGACTATCCACAAATTACCATATCTTAGCGTCAATTGCGATGCAATGACCTATCCTCTATTACATCCAAGAGGTGAAGCAGGATGGCAGTCTAGAACACCACATCAAAATAGAAGAGGCTATATATCGTTACTGGAATATTATAGTTTCAGAATAGCTGTTCGACCAAATACCTTCAACCAATTTTTAATGGCAGGCAAGCTGACAGTACATCGTAGATGCATACGTAAAAATCGAACAGAGTCGACTACAATTTATTACTGAAAATCAACCACGTATTAGGCAAGAAATATTTCAAGGATTAATCGACTATTTAGACTCGAGACAATTAGATGTTCATTATCCACCAGGAAATATTTTCATCCTACCGTCGACATTCATAGGAAGTCCACGCGCATTTAGACAAAACTATTTGGATGCCATGTCTATAGTCACAAAACACGGGAAACCAGATATTTTCCTAACATTTACTTGCAATCCTGCATGGCCTGAAATCAGGAATAACTTAGATGCAAATCAATATTCCTCAAATAGACCTGATTTTGTATCCAGAGTGTTCAAGAGCAAATTAAAGGAATTAATAGAAGATATTGATAAACGACATATCGCTCACCCAATATTACAAAGTCGTATGTGACAAAATTGAAAATAATCTGATTTCACTATTACCAAGTCGTATGCTGTCTGAAGAAACATACGACAAATTATTGTGAATGTAACCCTGCTGGTTCTGCTTAAAAACATAATATTTCATTGGTGTATGTTTTCAAACAGACAGAATGGTACAACAAAGTCGTATGTATCACATACGACTTTGGTGCAGTATTTCCAACTAAACGTCACGGGTGGTCACGGTTCAACAATATCGTATGTGTTACATACGACCTTGGTAGTCTGAAATTGTTCTGGTCAACAAATCATAAGGTAGTATGTCATAACTTACGGCAAGGTGCACTCGTGTGTTTAATATTTTGAGGTTATGTTTTTAATCGGGAATAGTTATTAACCTGAGGATTGACACCGCATTTTCGCTAGTAGTTCGTGAATAATGGAACAAATAGGTGATAATGAAGCGTACTGGAGTGGATACGATTCACATATCGATAAAGAATATATTCCTCCTAAAAAAACAAGGTATGTAGACATTTCGATTCCTTTTTATATTGCTCTTTGTAAATAAGATAAGACAGAAATATACGTACTCCTATTTTGCAGTGGTACCAGATACATACAAAAGCTTACTTAATTTCGGATTTTTAGAAAGTAAATAAAACTAGAATGTTTTTTAGAATCAAGATTCGTGGAAAATTATATGAGGTAGAAGCCGACAAGACTCTGGATACAAAGACTGACGAGTGTAGTCGCAAACTCGACTGCCATAAATTTGCAAAGCCAAAAGAAAATTTGAATAACTACGCAAGGTATGCTAATTTTGATATTGTTTCTGAATAATAATAATCATAACATTAATAACTTTTTCAGGGTTGTACCTATGAAAGGTTTTAATAAAGTTAGCCAGTATGGCGAGTCTAGCAAATCAGGGCAGAATGAAAACACCGTAACAAAACAAAATCCTAATCAAACAGAAAAAGAAAATCTGCAACCATTCAATGAACAACAGCAAACTGAAGAAAATAATGAAGATGAGCGAAACAATGCTCACAAATCTGAAAATGTTACTAAGATGTCAAGAATAAGACAAAGAAATATTAAAAGTTGGGCGAGCCATATTAGAAAAGAAAGATTTGATAGACGTCAGGAATATATTTCTGTCAGAAAAAAAATCGTACCGGCTAGAAAAATCAAAACAATAAAAGATTGCATAGAGAAATGTAAATTCAAATGTGAGAGATATTTTCAAACTACTATAGGCTGAGTGCTTCAGAGAAAAAAATGTTTATACTAAGTACTACTGACATGGGTGACCCTGAAAGAAGAAGGCAGGGAAAAGATAATACTAATTCAAGGAAAAAATGTACTCTAAGATATTCATTTATCATTAACAACAATAAAATACGTGTCTGTAAACTCTTCTATTGTGGCACTCTGGGTATAAGTGAAAAACCAATTTACACAGCCCACAAAAACAAAACAACGAACAATACTAGTTTACCGAGTACTCAAGGGAAACATCAGAAAAAAGTTACTGCTGCAGTGGATGCAGATCTTGTGCGAACCCATATATTCCTCGCGTGGAGTCGCATTACTGTCGAGGAAATTCTAAAAAGGAATATTTAGACGGCAATTTAACAATTCACAAAATGTACGAGCTTTACAAGGAATTTTTGAAAGAGAAAGAAAAAGAAAGGAATCCAGTGACTTTTTGTATTTATAGAAAAATTTTTTGTACTGAATACAACTTATCTTTTTATAAACCGCGAAAAGATAGATGCGACGTATGCGAGGAAGTAGGATTAAAGAGAAAGGAAAACAACCTCACTGTACAACTGGAAAGTGAATTTGAAAAACACATAAATGAAAAGAACAGCATGAGGAAAGAGAAAGATAAGGACAAACAAGGTTCAGTTCCGATTTTATGTTTTGATCTAGAGAATGTTTTGAGTTGTCCCAAAGCTGAAGTAAAAAAATTTTTCTACAAGAGCAAACTGAATGTATACAATATGACTGCCCATTTATCTGTTAACAAACAAGTTTACTGTGCTGTTTGGTCAGAATCTTTACATGGACGCTCAGGAAATGACATTGCTAGTGCTGTTTATAAGATACTAAACCAGGTACTCTTCGACCACCCAGAGTTTGAAGAATTGATACTGTGGAGCGACAGCTGCGTTCCACAGAATAGAAACAGTTTCATGAGTTTTGCGGTTGCTCACTGTATTCAGCGCCATCCTAATTTGAAAAAACTTACCATGAAGTTTTCTGTGCCGGGTCATTCAGCAATACAAGAAGTAGACGCCATCCACAGTTCCATTGAAAGGACCCTTGCCAAGACTGAGTATCATTCACCAGTTTCCCTTTTAAGGATCTTACTTAAAGTAAATCAAAAAAAGACGTTTAAAATAATGCAAATGCAGAAAAAAGATTCCTTTGATTTCCAGTTTTATTCTTCCAAAATGACCTACAACAACCTTCCATTTTCGAAGGTATGTTGTTTGCAATTTTCAAGAGCTTTTCATCAAATTAAATTCAAAACTACCTTTACAGAAGAATCAGATTATGTTCCTATAGATTTGAGACCAAGAAATTTGCGTAAACATGTTATTGTCACAGCGGATTTTATTGCAGACATCCCAATCGAATTAAAAAAGCACGACGTTAAAGCAAAATTGCCCCAAACCAAAGTAGATGCATTGTCTTCTATGTTTAAATGGATGCCAGCAGTGGATAGACTATTTTATGAAAATGTATTTCATAATATGTGAACCCATTATACCTAAAATGATACTTTTTGTTCCGTTTTTATAAGGTGTATGTTACAAGCTGTTTTTTTTATTAAGATTTTCAGGATAACAAAGTCGTATGTTTTTTTTCAAATCGCATTTTTTATTCTGTAAAGAGTATTTTAGTGTTTATGTTTATGAAAAATAAATGTCAAGTTGCTTATGAATTGCACCCCGACTTTGATTTTGAAACAATTTTATATAAATCATAAACTTTACCTCCCAAATTTTCAATACTCTATTTCTCATTTTCGTGTTCATGTTACATACTACCTTGTAATATTGGGTGAGCGATATTATGGGAGTTTGTGCTGCTTACGTTTACGTAATAGAATTTCAGAAAAGAGGACTCCCGCATGCGCATATGTTGATTTGGTTAGAAGAATCAGAAAAAATATTGGACCCTGCAGCAATCGACCGTTTAATTTCAGCAGAATTTCCCGACCCTATCGCGTATGCCAACTTGCAGGAATTGGTCAAAGTACATATGCTTCATGGACCTTGTACCAGTGCTCGATGCTTAGATGAAGAAGGACATTGCAGCAAACAATTCCCGAAATCTTTGCGTGAAGATACCTTATACAATCCCTCTGGATATCCGTTATATAAAAGACGGCCAATAGAAACACCTATACATATAGGTCGAAGAACAGTAGATAATGGTTGGGTTGTACCATATAACGCTTATCTACTTGAAAAATACGAAGCTCACATTAACGTGGAGGCTTGCTCTTCAATGAAAAGCGTAAAATATTTATTTAAATATATATACAAAGGATTTGATAGAGCTCAAATTGTCGTACGAACCGTGGAAGAAGACGGCCAATCAACAACTATCCAGGAACCTATGTACAACGAAATTTAAATGTTTCTGGACGTTCGCTATGTTAGCGCGCCTGAGGCGATGTGCAGGATTTATACATTCGAAATGCACGATATGTCTCATGCTATTATCAAACTCTCTGTACATCTTCCGAATATGCAACAAGTCTATTTTAATACAAATAGTACCATTCCTGACGTCGTAGAAAGGGCCGCAACACAACACACTACGTTAACAGGATGGTTCGCCTTAAATACCCAAGATGAAGAAGCTAGACAATACACATACGTACAGATACATTATAACTATGTGTGGAAAATAACACAAACAAGAATCTGGGTAAAACGTCAACGTCATTTTACTCGTATAATTCCTAGATTATATTTTGTACATCCTAGAGAAGGCGAAAGATTTTATCTTCGTCAACTTCTTTTGCATAAAACAGGATGTAGATCATTCGAAGGCATTCGTACTGTACATGGCCGTACGTACGAAACGTTCCGAGACGCTGCTATTGCGATGAACCTTCACACGGACGATAGTATTTGGTTCACTACGATGCAAGAAGCCATACACGTACAACTTCCACGAGCT